TCGCTATCAGGACAAGATGTAAGTGATTTACGCCGATTTTGTTCATATTGTTGTAATAGATGTTGCTGTTGTTGCTGCGATTTATAATATAAGGATGGATGTTTACTTTGTGATTTTAGTAAAGTTGTTAATGCTTCTGTTGGATGTATATTGACATTACTAATTCCATTACCTCCACCACCACCACCGCTTCCACCTGATGATGAAGATGATGATGTTGAAGTTGTTGGGGCTGAAGATGATGATGAAGGTGTTTGAATTGAATTACTTGAACGATAAAATTTTTGAAAATTGTCTGTAAATAAGCAATCTCTATCGATAATTCCACCGGTTCCACTATCAGGTGATGGCAAATAAATTGGATTGACATTTCGTTTCAGTGAAAGATTGCAATTACTGTTGCTACTATTATTCATACTTATTAAATCAGTTGTATCTAAGGATTGCTTATGATGTAGTGTTTTATTTGATGTTGGTGCTGAATATGCGATTCCAGGATAATATGAAGTAGGATCATCAACTGTATGATGTTGCATTAAATTGCTAATAGGATTAGGCTTGATTATAGGAATACCAGTACTTTCACCAACGATACCGGTCGGTGTAGATATTTTGTTTTGATGTGCAATACCGGTTTGGTACATTGACGATGGTGATGGTTGCCTATTGTGATTCGGAGGTTTCAATGATGAATTACCAATGCTATAAGATTGTTGTTTAAAAGGATTTAAATCTAGTGCCCGATTGCTATAATGATTAGTATTACGTTGATGGGTTCCGTATATTTGTATGTTATTTGAAGAAGATGTAGTGGGAAATTCTGTGGTTATTACATTTTTGCTACGCATTAATACATCACTTTTATTATGTTCAAAATTTATCAAAGGGTTACCTATGATATCACCTGCAGGATGGTGCTGATGATTGGTTGAATTGAGAATTAAGTTTCTTTTTGAAACCGTTATTTCGTGCGACGGAGATGACAAAATATTCTGTTGAGAATTTTCTTTCAGTTGTTGTTCTAAAATGAATTGTTTTTCCAATTGTGGTAAATTTTGATATGGTCTGGTTGATGATGAAGTATTTAATTGGGTAGAAGGGTGTTGTTTACTATGTTCACCATCTTTGAATGGTACTTTGAAGTTACGTTCATTGACAGGAGGCTGCAGTTCATAAAGTTCATTGTCCGTACTTTCGTAACTAAAAATATTAAACTGGTCATTTTCATTAAGATGTCCCGGAGCTGGTGGTGGTGTCGGAGTTGGCGTTAAACAATCGTCTAAAATATCAGTCTGACGTATTTCTGACGCAAAGCTTTTTTCAAAAAGCTTCATGTCTTTGTCATTTAAGATTATGGTCCCATCTGCGTTAGTACATTGTCCCGTTTTAGAATCGGTATTAATATCGGTACTAGGAACGTTGGCGACGTTGTGAAATTTCGATTTCTTTTTGTAATGGTCTAAATAGCTTTCATATTTTACATCATTATTTGATATTGCTTCCCCATTACTTTTGTTTGAATTGTAAGGAATACAACTTTCTTTGCTTGTTTCAAATGGATTATTTGAAAATTCAGACCGTTTTGATTTTTCTTTTTGAACATCGTTTATATCGGATTTTGATTTACCTTTAGTCCAATGATGCTCGTTTCCAATTGGTAAAGTATTGGCGAATTGGAATTCATTATTACAACTATCAGCCCCTGTATCAATTTCAATATCAATTTGCTCATCAGTTTCATCATCATCTTCATCAATATCGTCAGAATTATCATCAGAATCATCGTTATTAAAAATATTGTTTTTGAAACGTTTTTTTGAGAAGTTTTGATAATGTTGATTTGAATGATGTTGTTTATGATTATCGAATTTTTGTTGTAAATGATTGATGAAAAAGTTATCATCACAACTGCCATCTTCTGTGGTAGTTGTGGGTGTTGTAGTTGTTATTGTTGTAGTCATATCATCAGATAAATTATTAAGAAGTTTGTGGTTTCGTATAGTAGCTAGATTTTCAATAACACCACCTGGAAAAGTTAAGCTATCTATATAATATTCAGAAATTTTTGGATGCTCATAACGCAATTTTGTAACAGATGTTTTCTCTTTTTCAGTTGGTCCACTAAAAACTGATGCATAATCACTACTACTAATTGAGCTTGATGTTGTTGTACTACGCGTCGGTATATTTTGCATTTCCGAAGGATTTCCAGTATTGTTCGATGTAGTTGGTTTGCAAACTTTTGCGTATTCGACTGGTTTATTATAGGATTTACTACGCTTATGGTGTTTGATTGCTCTTGAATCACTTTTATTTGTTAAAAATTTTACGTCTTTTTGATCTTGTTCTTCTAATGGATCATAATTACGAAATATTTCAGATTCCTCATAATGGTTACGCATTTTCGATTTAGAATTTTGTTGAACTCGACCAACTGAGTAAGATGATTTTTGATAATCTGTTAAGCTTTGATCAAAATTTTCCTGCAAATATGCATCTAAGTAATGCAAATTCTTTGTTATGTCAATTTCAGATTTATAACTTTTATATAAAATTTGTTTACTATCTGTTATATTTGAAGGTAATGGTTTAATTGGAATACGGTTTGGAGGATTTTTTATTATTCTACATTTATTAGTTATTGCATTATTTGCTGATGAAGAATTAGAAAAATTAATGTTTAGGTTTTGATCATCAATTGATGAGCTTTTAACATTCCGACATTTATCACGAATTTTTTGAAAACTTTGTTTTGTTTTCAAATGCAATTTTTCAAAATATTTATTACGTTTACGCTGTTGATTTATAGGATTTATTGCGTTTATTGTTTCCTGGTGATTAGTATTGTTACCAGAAATAGTTGTTGTCGTTGTAGTAGATGCATCATTTGCTGAATTATTGTCTTCGTTAATTTTATTCAAATTTAGTTTAAATTTATTACTTAATTTATTACCAATAACTAATGATTCTTTGTTATTACTATTTGTATTAGATGAACTTAATTTTCTAAAAGATAATGTTGAGGCTGATAGAAATTTTTTTGATAAATTTTGTGATTTCATATTATTTTCATTTGTGTAATTAATTGAAAAATCTTGACGTTCGAACTTACTAACTGGTATACCATTTAAATATTTATAATTCTTATTGGCAGGATTAATATTATCATGTTGTTTTGTTTGATCGTTTGAATCAAAAAATTTCCGAATTGATCTTTCGGATTTATGTTTTTTAAATGGACCACTATTGACACCTAATGAATTGTAATGCGATGATGTTGTTGGCCTTAGCATATTGAATTTATTTTTTGGACTTGTTTTAAATTGTTGATGTTGATTTTGTTGATGCTGATAATGATGTTGACTATTATAATTTAGTTTGTTAGTAGATGCAATTGCATCTAATTTTTGGTCTTCATGAAATATTGAAAATGGGTTTGTTATAACAGTTGTTTCTAAATCATCATCATCATCAATATGATCAATATCATTATTAATATAATTTTCATTACTATAATTATCACTATTATATAAATTCTCTTGATTATAATTTAATTCATAATTTTTATTTGACAAATTTTCATTTTTACTATCTAATTTATGAATATTTTGTTTTATTTTAAAATTTTTTTGCTTAATTTTATTATATTTTAACTTTTTACTAATTAATAAATCATCATTAGAAACCATAAATTGAATATTCTTATTATCTAATAGATCATTATTGGAACTATGACAATAAGTATTATAATAAATAGTATTTATGTTATTATTTAATAATATAATTGAATCAATTGATAATGTTTTACGAATTGAATTGATTTTACTATTACTAACTGTTATAATTTGTGTATTTCTATCTAAAAATTCATTATTATCATGTAATTTTAATTCTATCATGGACATAGATGTTTTTAATTTTAATGAATAATCTATTATACTATCGTGGCTATTAAGTTGTTTTAAAGGTTGCTGTATTAATGGATTAATTTTAATTTGTCGCCATAAGTTTTCTAAATTTTGTGTTTTTTTTATATTTTTTAATTTCTTACTATTATTATTTTTACTAGAACTATTATCGTTTTTTATAACAGTTATCAAATCTTGGTCAATACTTATTTCAATTTTATCTCTTTCTTTATAATATGTTGTAGAACTTTCATTTAATTTTGTAGAAGAACATAAATTCTTATTATTAATTAATTCATTTTTATTATCATCATTAGTGTTGTTCACTAATGATTTATTATTGTCGTTCTTATTTACTAGTAGTTCTTTATTACTATTACCGTCGTTCTTACCATCATCATTATTTTCTTTGATTTTTTCATTAATTTGTTTTGTATTGTCCTCTTCTGAATTATTACTACTACTATTATTACTTTCACTACAATTGTTACCGATTTTTCTCAAGCTATTTGTATTTATATTTTCATCAATATTAATTAATTTTGTATTATTAATTATTTTCATATCATTATTTTTAATATTACTAGTATTGTTATTATTAGTGTTTATGTCATTATTATTTGTCATCAATGTATTATTTGTGTTTGGTGGTTTTGTATTAGGAGAAATATCAGTACAGTTATTTGACATAGTTATTGTTGATAAAGTCGAATTTACTGTTGTAGTTGTTGTTATTGTATTTTTTGTACATGTAGAAGTTGTAATTGTATAATTAGTATTTGTTAATGTTGTTGTAGTATTATTAACACAAAATTGATCAGTATCATTGTTATTATTGTTATTATTATTGTTATTTATTGTATTAGTAATAACAATTTCATTAACAGTTGTATTGTTATTATCAATATTTGTTGATAATATATTATTTATTAATAATTGATTATTATTATCATTATTATTATTACTATTATCATTACTATTTATATTATCGCTATTACTATTATTAATATTATTATTTATATTATTGTTATTATTATTAATTGCCTGCTAGACTCTAGTGGGTGGTTGTAATATCATTGCAGCCATTCGTACCTTCATCGCTTCTGGTGAACCATGTCCAGGGTGATGATGATGGTGATGATGATGAAAACCAGCTGGTGTTGTATAAATTGAATCACCTTGTGGACCGCTTGTACTATCTGAACGTGATTTTAAATCAGCTTTTTCACTATTATATAGTTAATACCAGAGAAAAAAAAAATCAAATAAAAGGAAAACAAAAAAAAGATAATAATTAATATTGTTGAAATCAAATAAATTTTTAATATTTATAAGAGTCCTGCTATAAATGTCAAGGTCAAGAAAAAAAACTTGATCCGCTTATAAAATACATAGCTATCTGATTTGATGTGCCTACCTTTTTCAATTAAAAATGTGAACAAGTTTGGGAAAATTTAAGAAAATATTTAAGAAATTAATTTTAACATTGTTCCAATACTTCACTTCAATTTCGTTTTATACATAAATGGCATTTTGTTTCCTTACTATAAGCAAAATACTATTTCATTTTTCAAATCCCCTTCCGCGACAAATTTTCAAATTTTAAATTATTACACCTATTTCCATTTGCTTGTAATGCGTATGTAAAATTTAATATAAAGAAAAATATTAAGAGAAAGGAAAGGCAATATATGTTCAAAAATATGAGAACGCTTCTAAAATTTGTTAAATGCAATTCAAAAAAAAAAAGAAAAACTTCATAAATTTTAATTTTTTAAAGGCTTTACTGTACACGGCAGGTATGTTTCCTATTTTTTTAATATATTTTTGAATGTAACAAACGTGTGTATGAACAATAATGCTCGAAAACGTAAACATAATTTATGTTCGTTTTTTTCAATTTCACTACAGTTTACTTCCAAGAAAAGAGAAATATTATTAAAATAAGTTTATTTTGGTTTACTTTCAAAATTCTAAATTTCCTTTTGTTGTTTAAAAAAAAAGACGAAAAACCAAAATTATATAAAGATTTATAAGCCATATGGTATTTTTATTTTCACCCTTACTGAATGTTTATTGAACAAATTTTAAAGACTTGCATGTTGAGAACATGAATACTTTAAAAATGCTAAAAATACCTTTAGACTTAAGTACTTTATAGATAACTAGGAACTATAGTAATTAAAAGGCATTGATAGAAAGATCATACGCTTTGTTGAAAAACCGGATTTCAATCAAGGTATACCTAGTCGTATCCTAACACCATATTGTAAGATGTCGGAGCATATTTTCATAAAATATTTTTCTGAAATGCCATTATAGTTGCATTCTATTACTTGAGTCAACGAAACCAGTTTAAAAATAATTTAGATAATACATTAGAATAAATTAATTTAAAAGTTTATTAAAATTTTTTTCAAAAATTTTGATTTTATTTTAATTTTTAGTCCCTGGGAGCTTGTATAGATTACTTTTAAACACAATTTTATACTGTCACATTTCAATGCCTCTAATTTTTTAAAAATTTTTTCATAAATACCTAACTAAAATCTATATTGAGTATTTACCAAAATACAGATTGAAAAAAAATCATTCCATTCTCGTAAACGTTTTAAAATTTTTGTATAAAGTGACATTATATTTTCGGTTAAAAATAACGGTAAAAATTCTTATTCTTATCATTTTCCAAAACCTTATGTTTTACGTTCATGCTATTATGAGAAAAGAAGAAGGTAATATTATTGTTGTGAGGCTCAACAATTCAAATTTCATTTTAAACTTTGATAATTTTATGTGTTTTTTTTATTTTTTTATTTACTTTATTTTAGTTATGCTCCTTTAAGATATAACAAAAGTGTCGTTTTTTGAGAACGTGTTTTATTTATTTTGTGTCTTTTTTTTTTACCTGTTCTTCGATACAATTTACATATACAAATGTGTATTCTTACCTGTCTTTATCTGATGATTTATAACCGGAACGACCTGAAAATTTGGGAAAAAAAACACAATGTAGGTATTTATATAAATGAAAAAATATTAACATAAAATATTTCATGTATGTATATATATATATATATATTTAAAATGGAGAATATAATAAAAAAATAAATGGAGCAGGAAGTGTCAAAATAAAAAAAAAATGTTTTATTTTTAAATCATTTTTGTATTGAATGAAACATTCTGTAGGATATTTTTTTCTAACTTTTTATCGTATTTACATAATAATAAAGTTGAAGGACGTTTTTGTCCAATCATTTAAATTTTATGTTATTTTTCGTTCCTATTTTTTTTTTTTAATTTTGAGTAACTCCCGTAAGTTTGTTGAAAGAACAAAAATTTTAATGAAAAATTTTCCAAAAGTTAATAACGAAATCCGTTATTACATGAAAATCGAATGAAACAACTAAAATCTAAAAAGAATATTTTATTATTAAAACGGTTTACTAGATTTTCGTACAGCGGCTAAAATAAGACATTTACGTGGAGTAGTTCAAACAATTTAATCACAAAAACAAAACGAACAACAAAATTAAATTTTGACTCCTACTATCTCATTTTCAACAAACCACTCTTTGCTGTTCAGACAATTCAAAATTAGTGTTGTTCTTAATAAATTGGAAAACAGTTCGCTTAACTCCGACCAAATATTGTAATTATAAATAGAATTTTAACGATCATTATGTTTTAATTTTTAAAAAATATTTAATACAATTTCTCTTGCGAAATGATAATTTCCTCTTTTGTAAATAAAAAAAAAAATTACATACATACTCATAATTTTTTTTAAATTGTATCGACCGGAAAAATTAAACCGAAACCGTCACACTTTTAAAGGATACCAACAACAAGAAAAAAAAAATTAAAATTTTATTTGCAAAAATTTTCATTTTTATTTTCATTTTATGAATGACAATAAAAGGAAACTGGAAAAGTGAAAATGATAACAGCAATGTAACAATGAAATTCTTTTTAAAAAATGAAAAAAAAAAAATGGCTAACGATTTTCATACTGCTTTCATTTCATTATTGTTGAGCAACATTGTATTTTATATTATTAAATAAGAAGCAAAAGAAAATAGGAAAAGAGAAAGAGAGGGAGAGAGTGTAAGAGAGAGAAAGAGAGAAATAAAAAAATAAAATGTAATTTTCAACATTTTGAAATTGTAAAAATAAAAATCTTTTTTAGAATTTCATATTTTACACATTTTTAAAATTAAAATTAATTGCTATAAAATTATTAATGTGTCATGCATATTGTAAAACTTCGATGACAGATCTGATAATGAGAAAACTTAAAATTAATGGTCCAATCTCTGCAATAATGTTTATTTTTTTTTGTTATGACAAGTGGAGGAAAACTTTGTACTGATAAATTTTATTTTTATTTAAAATAATTTTATATATACATACATACAATACCAACACTAGTGTAAAATGACAATACTGATGAGAACTCAACGAAAATTTTCCAAAAATAAGATCTAGTATACCTTTATTGGAAATTAAATTTATTTTTCGAGTTTATAAAATTTAAGCAATTTTCACACGGTTATTTCATTTAATCTGTATTTTTTGTGAATTGAAGGCTAAGAAAAGGTCTCATTTTTAATTTATATCTGCAATACTTATATCTGTACTGCATATTAGGTTAATAATATCTTTCACAAAAGTTATTCCAAAAAAAAATTTATTATTTCTAATTTATTATCAGAAGTATTTAAAAACAAGTAATTTCTATGTCGACGGATTCCAATAAATTAAGCTATACAAGAATTTTTCTGAGAATTTTTGAAGAAGAAATAATTTTTATGTCCAACTTTTATTATATTAAAGCTCAAATTCTTAATTTTAAAGCACGATCTGGGGCGCCCATATAGTAATTTATGTAAATTTAAATAAATAAATTTTGCCTAAGAGGTTTTTGCCTTTTTTCTTAGAAAAATTTACACAAACTCTCTAAAAACATTCTATGAAAATAATTTAAATAGTCCGGAGGTTCAATATTGATACCATGTGTTGCAGCATAAAAAATCACATTTTTTTCAAATTGTAATAGCTTTGATCAACATATTGAAGAAACAGAAAATTTTATTATTTACTTAATTTTAAATTTATTTTAATTATTGTATGTTATGAATAAAATTTGCATTCCTATAATAAATTTATGATTTATTTAAAAAAAGATAACATTGCACGGAAAATAATATCACAAAAATAAAAGTTTAAAACCTTTAATGGGAAATTATAATTGTAATTCCAAGAACCGCCTTTAAAACAAACAAAAAAATTATGTAGGATTTCATTAAAATTCATTTAAATATTATACTACTGACCGAATTTCATAAAATAAGGGAGGTCGTGTGATGGCACCAAATTTTGAATGTTAATTTTTCAACGGGATCGTATTTCTCTATAGTAGGGAAGCGTAAAAAAACTATTTTTCAAAAGATTTGGTTCTGTCTGTGTACCGGCGTCTCATGTTCGGCTGAACTAATTTTGATGAAATTTTTTATGTGAGTTAATTTTAGTATGGCAGGGATTGATTAATATCACTTTTGGGATATATCAGGCCTCGGAGAAAGTTTTTAAAGGGCATTTTCAAATCTTCTGTAACATTTTCGCTAAACTAGAGAATACACTTGCGGTCGATAATATGCTGCTCATATCAAATTTTTTTTTTTATGTAATTTCAATGTTAAGTTCATTGAAAATTTTGTTGACACATGTATAAAATTTCCCATATCCATCCATGCTTCATCATACATATTTTTCGATTTAACTTTTAAGATAAATAATTTGATTTTAGCTGCAATTATTAATATTTACCGAGTAATTTCGAAAATTCAACAGAATTGAAATTTTTTTTTGTTAAAAAGAAACAAATTAAGTTTCAAAAGTTATTTCAATATGAAAATATTTATTTTTAAAATAGTGTACATTACGTGTAGGCGTAAAATAATAAAATTATTTTTTAATTGTGTAATAATTTTAAGAACCATCATAATTTAACTTAAAAAAAATTGTATCAAGTTCCTATAATTTTGGAAGTTTCTATATATTTCAGCAATATTTACTGGTTTTGTAGGTTTTGTATTACAATCATACTATAATACAATTAACCACACCGCTATAGCGCAAAATATTATAAAAATTAACAATAATTCTATGTTTTCTATGTTTTCAAAAATTGAAATACTTTTGGGGTAATTTTTTTTATCCTAAGAGTAATATTTAAGAATTCAATTTAAAAATGAATTAATTATGAATCACCTTCGAAACTACTTTTGGAAAACTAAAAATAGTTTTGAAATAATTGAAAATTTTCCATCAGAATCTTTTTCTATATTTAATGAAAAAAAAAAAAATCCTTTTAATTAAAATTCAACTGAAAAATTAATGTTAAGTAGAGTTTGAGGGAAAAAAAAATTTATAAAGTATTCAAGAGTTCTCTATTACTTGACAACAACATTCAAATTTTGTAATAAAAAAAAAAAAATTCCGTTCATTTTTCATCATTTTTTCCTTTTAGGTTACCTTTAAACTTTTGTTTTTTATTATTATGCAAATTCTTTGAAGCCTTAAGTCATCTACAAACACTTTAGTTAGCGATAAACTTAACGTAGTTTTTTTTTTTTCATTTTTCTTTATCCTGTTTGGTCCTCTTATTTTTACTTTCTTGTTAATGTCGTTTTTCTTTTTTTAATTTTCTTTGTTTTTTACACCCACTTTTATTATTATGTGCATGTTTATATTATTTATATCTTTAGTACGAAATATATTAAAAAAAAAAAAAAAGTCCACTCTCTGGGAAAAATTAATCCGACTTGTTGAATATATTTTTAAGTTTCTTGTGAAAAAAATACTGTTATATTAAAACAAGTTTAAGCGTTTGTTTTTTGCACTTCTTATATAATTTTTTTTTTTATCATTTTATCAAAAATGGACCGCCATAAATTAAAAACTAAAAGTGAAGAACGTAAGCATGAGCATAATAAAAAAAGAAAAAAAAAGGAGTCAGTGTGTATGTATGTGTGTTTTTAAATTAATTCATTTTTATCGAGAAAAAAAAAACAAGGACACAAAAAAAATGGAAAAAATCCCATAAGGGATGTTCTTTACTTTCCTACAAACAACTTTTCTTCTGTATCTACCTCCTTTTTTTTCAAATTTTGAATCTCTTATTTTTTTTTTTTGCTCTACAATGTACGGAAAAAACTTTTGCATAAATTTTGATTGAAATATGTGTAAAATGTTTGAAAGGATGAAAAAAAAAACCTACATAAATTTGATAAAAAATTAAAATATTCGCTGTATAAAATTAAATGTCATTTTAAAGGAGATTTCCTTAAGGTATTTTGTTGTTTTTTTCATATTCGGCTTTAAATTTTTAATTCAAAAATTGCTATTTGAAAATATTGCATATATTTAGGGGAACTCTAGCAAAGAAGCAAATAATAATATTTTGATCAAATATAATTTATTGTTGCTGAAAATTGTTTATTTAGAAAAGTTGAGAAGAAAAGTAGATGTTTTCTTGATTTGATTATGCCCTATTTAGAATACGTTCGGGTTCCTGAATCAAGAAATAATTTTGAACCTATTAATTTATGGTAGGTAAAGTTACCAGGTAAAATTTTTATTGCAAACCCGTAGTTATTTTTATTCTGGAACATGTTCATGTCTTATATTAAGAATTTCCGCTGACTTCTTAATCCTCTGTATAATATATGCTTTAGTAATATGAGTAGTTATAGCAAAGTTGTGATTAATTCAAGCAGAAGACAAATTCTACTAAATACTTAACTGAAAAACTCCCTTCAAACTTATTACTCGTATTACACATAATTGCTATTATTACAAAACGATTGCTGTATCAGAGCGGGATAATTATTACAATGAGCATAAAAACTGGTTTCTCAAACATAAAACTTGCTTTATTATGTTCCGGAAATAAATTAGATCTTCATAGTATTTTCTTAATAAGTAAATTCTATTACCACTTGTAATAATGTTTGAAAATTTCAATATAAAAATGTTTTAAAAATTTTACAAAAAATTTAATAATTTCTTCTTTTAAGAGAAAATTTGACAAAAGCACACTAAAAATTAAATACAAAATTTGCACGGAAGATTTTTTCTTTTTGAAAAAAAAAATATAATTTTTTTTATTTTTTTTTTATTTTTCTGTTGTTCTGTTCTTGTTCTGCTGTTTTAGTTTTTTAAATACATATTGTAAAAAATAAAAAAAAAATTCTCTGATGATTTTCTCCAACAACCATTCAACAACCTATGAAAAAGAAAACAGGAGAAAAACAAGGAAAAAGAAGATCCTTTTAGATAAAAAGAAAAACATGTATACATCAAATCCTTTATATGATGAACACACCACACCTATACAACATCCCACACATATTGATATAATTCCTTTAGATAATGGAAATGAATTCTTCAATGTCTACATATTGATATTCAACAAAAGTTGTGGAAGATTTTCATTTTGTTTGCTGTTTTCAGAATTTTTTCTCTCATGTTTTGTTTCTTTTAGGAAACAAACACAGGAGTTTTAAATATCATGTAAAATTATTCAGGTAGAACGGTGTATAAAGCAGATCAATATTATTTATGATGTCTATATGGAAACAAACGTTTTAGTAAACAGTAGAATCTTTTTAATAGAGTGGTTGGTTTTTTTGAAAATTTCTTATATAATTTTGTGTCTTAAAATTATTATTTGAGATTTTAAAGGTAAATTTATTAGTATTTATTTGCACTATATTTTCAGAATTAAATAGTTTTAATTTGAGTTTTTTAGTAGATCAAGTATAATTAATTTTTTTAGTAGATCAAGTCTGTTGTAAAGAGAATTTCGTGTAGAAAAATAACGTACCATACCACGCATTTTAACAAGAAACGTGTATTCAGTGACAAAAAATAGCAATCAAAGGATAACATTTTAACGATACTCGATTATTAAAGTTCTTTAACTTCATGCCAACATTCTTATGCTATGGTCCTTTTTAATATTGCTTAGGTCATGCTGTAATTTTATATGCGTATCTACTCTTAAACATGTTGTTTACCTTGTGTAAAGCAAAAATAAAAGTATGAATGATCAAAAATGTCGCATATTATCCTTTAAAGGATTTTTCATTTTTTTTTTTTATTTCTTTTTCTTTCTCTATAATCAAACTGTTTAAAATGCGCATAAATAAGTAAAGATTCCGAAGCAGGATTTTTTCTTGTCCCTCAAAGTTTTTTAATTTTTTTTTTCTAAATTTCATAAAAGAAAAATGTTTAGCTATTGTAGAAAAAAAAAAAAACAAAAAATTCTATAGTGGTGCGATTTTATTGCAAACAAAACCAAAAGTTTATAATGTATTTATTGTTTTTAATATTGAAATTTAAATTTTTAACTGTTGAGCAAAAAGGAAGTTCAAAAGAAATGATTATTCGGGAATAATAAAAATTTAACGACCATCTAAAATTTAATCAAAATTTTCTTTCCATTTTAATGGTATGAAAAATGAAAAAAAACATTTTTTTTTAAATATGCCATATATACCTGAGTGATTGTTAGTTGCTTGACATGAAAGCAGTTTGTTAATATTCAAATTATTTTTGCATTAAATTTTGAATAAATTTTGCACAGAAATTCTGATAAAAATTAAAATTTGGCTGGAAAGTCTTGCCAAACATAAAACACGCACTGGAAATCACACAAGTTATGTTTGGCAAAAAACAATTTGAGTTTTAAAAAAAATGGGTAGATTTTTAAATTAAAATTCAACAATAGGAATAAAATTGTGTGGTCAAGAAATTCATAATTTTTTATGGATATTATGCCAATACAGAATAAACGATAGCGTAAATGCACTAAGACGCAGAAGCATTTCTATGGAGAATCAAATAATTTTATTTAACTAAGAATCAAAAAGACGAGTAATTTAAAATAGGTAACAAAACCTATATGAGTAGCAAGAAAATTTTAATACAATTCAATTCAGTTAGACAAAACATCAGGGGTTTGAATTTTTAGCAGCTTTTGTGTACTAATAAGTAGTGTGTTTCATTCAAAAAAATCTTTTTTCCGCCTCCACCCTCTTTCAAGTTATCGTTGTTCGAAATTTGTAAAATTTGAATTTTCGGCACCATAATATGTATGTCCGAAACCACAAAGTTTTCCAAATTTCTATAAATGCAGAAAGCTAACGGTGAATACCATGACATCGAAAAATAAAATTATTTTCATTAACTAACGTAATTAATCGATTTGAATCATCGAATTGAATTGAATTCGTTATGTTAATGGCTCTTTCAATTTTTTTTTTTGCCTCATCCTAAATTTATGCAATTTTTGAGATATTTTGTTATATGAATGAAAGTAATTCAAATAATATAATAAATTGTTGGCAAAAGCAGTATTTTCACTTTTTGAAGTGAAAAGTGCCACTTTACAAACCAAATTACTTTGACCCAACTTTTTTAACTTGTATAATAGATTCTTAATTATGTAATTAAAATTATTTAAATTAAAAAAAAATCTGATTACCCGTCATTTGATATAATTTTCAATTTAAATAAAATATTAATATCACATATAACTAAATAGTTCTTGAAATCTTATATAACACTATAAAATTTTGGGAGTGTAGGAAAATGTTGTACAAAATTTTCTTTTCTCTTGAAAAATAATGTCATGGTTTAATATATTTTCAACTGGTACGTTTGAAAGTAACTTATGCAAATAAAAAATTTCAAATAGCAATATAAATCACGAGCAGCAAATTAAATAAAAAAAAAGAAGAATAAAACTATAAAGTAACAAAAATTTCGAAGCAAGCTTTTCACTGAGTGATTTTTTAACGTAACATATTTGAAAAATTAATCAAATCACTTTATCTGAAATGCAGTCACAGTAGATTTCTCTTCTTTCTAATTATTTCTTGAAAACTTTTCCGTTCCATAGAAAATATAGAATTATAACTAGTAGTACTGCATAAATATTTTTACGTTGAAAAATATTTTATTTATATCATACACATATATACATCGTAAAAGTAGTTCGTACATATGTAGATGAGAAATATATAATTGTTATATATAAACATACAGCAAAAAAAGGATATTCCGCAGAAAGCAGTTTTCTCCATTTATTTTTAATGTAAAAAAATTGACGCATTTCCTTTTATAATTATAAAAACTATTTTCAAAATGTGTAATAAATTTATGGTTCCATTACATAAAGCCAATACAAAACATATTGAAGAATAAATCTTTAAAGAACAAAAAAAAAAATAAATTCTAAAAATTTGTGGTGGTTAGGGTGTTGAATATGGAATACACCTCAAATTGTAAACGGAAAATTTTTTGTATGTTTTTTAAAGTTGTAGCTAATTATTAAAATTGCTAATTTCGAAGTTACAGTGTCAGAAGGCTATATGAAATGAATGGATTAAAGAAAAATAGAAATTCAATTTTAAAATATTAGTAAAAGTTTTCCTAATGTGATCAAGACTAGTCAATTTTTCCTAGATATTCCCATAGAGTTTTGTAGACACTATTAATGCTTACAAAATTGTTATATCGTAGTTGTTTTAAACGATTTTAAATCACGCTCAGAAAGATGAATATAGATGAATATAAAACGATTTTCTATAACAGAATTAGAAAAATAAAAAAGAATGGTTGCTGGTGAAGCTTGTTACACATGAAGTTATTTTTAACACAAATTGTTTAACATTAAAATTTTTAAAATAGTATGAAGACAATGGATTTTTTTTATTAACACTATTGGACACTGAGAACTGACAAAAAAAGGTGCTTCTGAATTCCATAAAGGACCAATGATAATTATAAAAAATTACTACGGAAAAATTCATACTAAAATGAAATTTAGTAGAATCTCTTGCAAAGTACAACGTTTGAAACGTGAATAACAAATTCAAATAGAGGAAAATAATTGAATTTACCATAAGAAATAACTTTCACGGAAATTTACTATATTCAATTGAAAAATTGTTATATTAAGATTACTAATTTTCTCGAATGAATGTCGTATTAGTTGGTAAACAGGAAAAACTAATAGAACTTTAAAAATAACCTTTCCCACTTAAAAGAAAATTCTCGCATGCTTTCCATTTCATCTTGTTCATTTTACCAAAAAACGAAAATTCTAGCTTAAGCTTTCCATTTCTATACTATATTTTTATATCTATAATACCCTCTAAGATAATATTAATATTATTTTGGAATAGGGTATTCTTATTAGGAAAGAGTTTCTAAAATATAATTTTCATGTAAAAAATTAAATTGTGAAAACAATAAAATTACTTTGAAGAAATGAAAACACTCACCTTTAAAACAGCATTTTTTTCCACGTATCGCATAAATACATAAACAAATTAGAATAAGTAAAGCTGCCAAACATCCACCTGCTATTCCCAATAGATAGCTGATCTCTAAAGGCTCTGCACAGTGGTTAGAAGAATATTTTTTTGTTTTCCATTTTGACCCCAATTTTTCATGTTTCATTATTTTTGTATTTGTGTTTTTCCACAGCAGTTTATGATATTGTAGTCGGATGTTGTTGTAGTTGTAAATTTTTTCAAAACCCAAGATATTCACAAAAAAATTTGTGTTTTTTTATATTTTGTTTTTTTTTTCGTATTTTTTTTTTGTTTTGTTTTTTAATTAGATACAAAAAAAAATGTACAAGCAAACAGACAAACATGTAAAGGAGGAATTTGTTTTTTTGACTTTAGTTAAAAATTATTCAAAACATAAACATTCAGGTGGAAAAAAAATCTAGTTTTATTTATTATTTATATAAAAAAAAAAGTATATAGAAATTTTAATAGTTATATAGAAAGATAGAGTTAAAATAGGTGCAATTTCAGTGCGTTGAATAATAGAAAAGTGAAAAATAAAGTACAAAGTCATAAAATATTAAAGAAGAAATGAAAATAAGAAAGAAAAATTACTAAATAAGGATATAAAAAATTATACAAAAAAAAAACAAAAGAAAATTAAAAAAAAAATAAAAATAACGCTGAAATAAGGAAAACATGTGAAACTAATTTAACCGAGAATGTTGCAAAAAATGATGATGCTGATGACGATATTTTCATTCTTTCCCCCACAATGTATACATTTATATATGTACATATTGTTTATGTGTACATTGTTTGTATATTATTCGCAGGTATTTATAAAACATCCTTAAAATTAAGTTGAATTATATATTAAGAGTACAATGGGTAGCAAGAGTGTAGTGGGAGATGAGATTTATAAAATTTGTTATAATTTATGTTAGATACTCTAATGTAAATGAGAAAATGAAAAAATGAGCAAAAATTACGTTTGCATAGAATTTATAATTTTATATAATATATTTGTTATTATAATTAAACAACGTAAAGTTTATATATATACGTAATATATAGGTGATATAGGAATAAGTAAATGTTTGGAAAGGAAATTTTCTAGTTTGCAGTTTTAATTGCTGTAATGTTTTTAATTTTATTTTGCGACAACGTGAAATTTTATTAAAATTCTCTCAAATCATCGTTTCTATATAAAAGTTTTGTATATTAATGAAGATCTATACAATGGTATATAGCAATTATGCTTTGATACGAGACACCCTGTATAAAAAGAGTTTTGAAAATTAAATGAAAATTTTTAATTTTTCTTAATAAAGTTTTTTTTACAATAGTTTTTTTTCCGTTTTTCATTGAATATCCTATATGAAATTTTTCTTCTTGTTGATTGCATACTTACAGGAAAACATTAGAATGTTACCAATAGCATTTATAAGAATCTGTGACAGGTTATCTTCATATTAAATCAACAGTTAATTTTAAATTTTGCTTTTCTCAGATTCAATAAAAACTAGTACTGTGTGTGTGTTTGAAATTTAAATGTTTTCATTAGTAAACTATTTGTAATCAATTTTGTGACGTCATAAAATTAGCCATGATAAACTGTTAAAAGCAGTAACAACAAGTTTTGCATGAGAACAAACAGAAAAATAAGAGATTTTCTCTCTTTTTTTTTTGTAAATAAAAGAGAAAAAAAATCAATATAACTGTAAATTAAAATGGCAAAATATTTTGCAATTTATTTCTTTGTTTTTAAAACTTTTATAATTTCACTGTTGATTTTTCAGATTTTTCAAAGGAAAAAAAATTTTAATCAAAACTTTCGTTTACTGGAAAACAAATTAAAAATTTAAATCCTTTCCGCGAATCCATTTTTATTTTGTTTTGTTTTTTATTTATCCTTAAAAAAGATATTGGATTTTTTCTCTTTTCCGAAGGCTTAAATGTATTAAATAAATTAATGTTTTGATAAAATTGCATAGTTTCAGGATAACTTAAATATTCAAAATAGTTTTAAATTCAATGAAATTTCAAATACGAATAAAATGAAGCATTTCAATGGAGAAGGAAAAATAATAATGGTAATCACAATATTGTTGCATTATTTAAATTATTTTTGAATAGTATGACCCTGAATTGAATTATGGGACTATAGGGCTTATGATTAATTGAGAAATTCCAAGTCCATAGTTCATAGAAAATCACAGTAACTAGTATTTCATTAGATTTATATTGCCACAAAATATCATTATTTGAAACATAAGCATTAATTTTTTTAAAAGTAGTTGTTCTCTTTGATTTAGGATTCTGCAATGATCCTGAATATAGATGATAATGAAAAATTATCTAGAACACAGATTTTGCTTTATCATAGGCCATTTAATTACAAAATGGGAGTTGATTTAAAGGACTTAAATTTGCTCTTTTTCATTATGTTATCTTTGAAAATTATAGAAACGATCCAAATAATAAATTATGTAAAGTTGTTTTTTCGAACAAAAACTTAAAATTCTATTTTTGTATTTTTGACTAATACAAAATCACTAAATTCTCAAATAAATATTTCCTTGTATATTATTTTATTTTTGGATTCAGCGTCAACAATATTGTCCTGAATAATAGTCATACCACAATTTTAATTTAATTTTTTAAATTTATATATTTTGTACTTAACAACCACAATCACAATATTAATCTGTTTTTAAAAACAAATTTTAAACAACAAAAGTAAAACTTTCATCGTTTATATATATAAGCATTCTACCTATTCTATATAGGATCGGAATCGGAAAACGGCACGAAATTCAACAGAATTAAAGAGGCATAAATAGTATTTCCCTTTTCTTTAATATTCTTGTTACATATGTAATGTGCTTTACGCTCATGTTATTTTTTGTTCTGAGGCATTAACATTTTCAAAGTTGCCGTGAGAAAAACTAATTTACTGCAATACTTTTGTAAAACTATTTTTTAGCACTTTTCCAAAAATTTTTTGAAAAAAAGTGCTTATTAGTTTCACTCTGTCCGTCCGTCCGTCCGTCCGTCCGTCCGTCCAAAACTTTTGTCTGTTTACAAAACTTCTACATTCTTAAAGATAGAAAGCTGAAATTTAATACGTACATAGATCTTTACTAGAAACTTATTTTCGTAGAACAAAATTTTTACCTATCTCCCCCCCTATAGAAGTTATTCCCCTCCAAAGCACTAAAAATAGCCTACTTTAACTATTTGTTGCAATGAAACCATTAGCATTTTTAAAATTTCGCGAACGCAGAAAGGCAGTGGCTTGCTTCCCCTACCGCGGTATACTATAGCTAAACTTTAGAAAGACAAAATGGCCGTTCAAATTTACCGTTATCTGCAGTCCTTTTTTTCCAAATTTTTGATGTCGTTTTTCTTCTAGACCCCAGCCTGTAGAAGCTTGAAATTTTAAGGGCTTTTAGACATTAACAAGTAGTTCATTTCGTTAGAAGAAAATTTTTTTTCATCTCCACCCCCTCTCAAGTTATGGCCTCTTGAAATTTGTAAAATTTGAATTTTTGACACCTTATATTTCTGAAACCGCAAGCTTTTTCAAATTTCTATAAACGCAAAAAGTTAACGGGAAATTCCATGACACTAAAAAATATAATTATTTTTCTTAACTCACACAATTAACCCTTAAAATCGAGCATTATGTTAACCCCTGTTCATATTAATTTTTGCTTTATTTCAAAGACTGCATAAATGGTTCATCCTAAATGTATGCAATCCTAGAAATAGTTTCGTTTATAAATGAAAATAAATTTTAATAGTGTGGTGGATATACATAGACTATTAAAATTTAAAAGCAGTATTTTTACTTGTTGAAGGGAAAAGTGCTACAATACAAACCATTGGTTTGACCCAACTTTATTTTTTTTTTATTTAACAAAAGAAAAATGAAAAACAAAAAAACAATGTGCACTTTTACAACACAGAAAAAAAAAAATTATACAGAACTATGTGCAAAAATTTTTTAAAAGGTGCTAATATAGTGGTGGTGTTAGTTGAAAAATAATTTTTTTTTTAAAGTAGGTGTACACAAGAAAAATTTTCAAAAACCAAAAAAAAAAAAATTTGCTACTTCCATTTTTTCTACCACTCCTTTGTTAAAAGGGTATACAAAAAAGTGCATTTTTTCACTCAATTTTTATTTGTTTTTACTTTTATTTAATACAAAAAAAAAAGGGGAAAGAGTTTGCATTTAAAAATTATTACTGAAACAAAATTAAAACAAAAAAATTTAATTCGTGATACATGAATACTTTTGTGCATTATATAAGTATCAAAACCGTTATACAAAGTACCAAATATACAAAATATAAATTTGAATGGTAATTTGTAGTTAAAATGTATAGGTATGTACAAAGAAAGAAATAAAGAAATACCATAGTAAATCGGAAAATATTCACACAACCAAACAAAAAAATAAATGAAAATATGTAAGTACTTATATATTATATAAAATAATGTGAAAAAATAAACCATTTTAAAAAAAACTAATTTGAAAAAAATTTTTACAAAAGTATACAAAATCAAATAGAAAAACAACAACCCAAAGTTTAAGAAAAACAAATGAAAGAAATAAAAAATTTGAAATGCACCTGAAAACGTACCCTCGACGACTAAATGGACGGCATGTCTATCAGTGCCACGTTCATTTTCCACAACTAAATAATATGGTCTGGCATCATGTTCATCAGCATTATTTATATGTAATGTTGCTAAATAACAATCTTCACGTGAATCCTGTAATACATCATCAGCCCGATATCGATCTATATAAAAGTATGACAGTGTGTTTAACAAATTTTTTTTTTAAGTAAAAATATTTGAAATTCAATATAATTTAAAAATGAAAATAATATATTTTTTTGATTATAATATTAGAAATTGATTGACAATATTTAATTATATTTTGATGTAAACATTATATGTGTCATAATTGTTATATATAAGTTTGTATATAAAAATAATTAAGTTACGTATACCATTTAAATTATAAACAGTACCAATAATAATTTCAATAATATTATATACAAAACAAAAACCGCAATCAATACCAAAATTATTTTATTAAGCCGACGTTATTTTAGCGTTTTAATTTTATTATTATATTAGTTTTGATAATTTTTGTAAATTTTTTTTTTTTTAATAATTTTAGTTCACATTAATGACGATAGTATTTTTCCATTTTATTTGTTATTTTCAAAAATATATTTAATAATGATGATAATGTTTTTTAATCGCACAGTTATAATATAACATTTGCAGTATAACAGTTGTGGTATAACAGTTGTAGTATAACAGTTGCAGTATAACAGTTATAAAAAAGATAACAATTATTACACAATGATGGATTTAAAATATTAGATATGATTTGTCACAATATTGTTTATTGTAATTATGATGTTTAATTAAGTATAATAAAATTCAATATATTCAAAATTGTAGAATTCGATATTAAATTTATTGATATTTTCCAGTTAATTGATTTTTAAATTACAAAAGTTTTTACGTTTGTTTTTTTTTTATTATTATTTTTAATTTTAATTATCACAGAAAATTGATAAATATTGAACAAACCCGGGACAAAATTATTTCGACAGGAACAATCAATTTTGAGGTTACAGAATTTTTTTTATTTTGGTTTTTATTTTAATTATTTTTTTTTTTTGTAATCGTAATTATATTGATTTTAGTTTTTAAATTCATTATTATTTTGTATAGTGATAATGATTATTTTTTATTGTCATTAATTGATTTAAATTTGACATTTAATTGTTTATTATTTATTGACATTTTCAGTTGAAAGTATGAGGTATTCCATTGTTTTGTAGTGTTGATTCCAAGTGAATAATTATGAATTAATTATCACATTCCGAAAAAAAGAAATACCAAAATTGAATTGTAAACAAAATTCCGTAAAAATGAAGAAAGTGAAAAAATTAAGAGAAAGAGAGAGAGAGAAAAAATATTTAATTAGTTTGTGGTTTCGGAAAAGTTTTTTTTTTTTTAAATTGAAAATAAAAAAAAAAATTTTTTAAAATTTAAAAACTTTATCAATTGCATAATGTTTTATTTCACAAGTTGATTTTATTGTCATAATGAAGGCAAAATGGTTATGATAATAACCAAAAAAATTTAATTCATGCAGAATTACGATTTTTAATTTTAATTACTAGATTAACTTCAAAACAATAGAAAATTAATTTACAATTGAAAAATTCAATTATATTTTTCTTGCTGTATTGCTTATGACTGGTCTCTTCTGGAAATTTTAATGAAATTGCTGAATTATTTCTTCATATTCAAATTATATTCAGGTTCGAGATGAATTTTATGTTTACTTAACAAAGTACTGAAAACAATAACTTTTGTAAATTTCAGGAATATAATATTATGCCAATAGTAATGAAAGGAATGTAAATGAATACCACAAGAGAGTAAACATTTCTTAAATAAATTTATTATATTCATATAAAATCATACATAAATTTTAATCATAAAAATTTTTTCCTTCGACCATATTTAATAATAATTTATATGTTTTTCATATTAAAAATTATTTTCAACTTTATAAAATGTAAAAATATTTATTTAAAATCTGAAATTCAATAAATTATTCCTTAAATCAATATTTCTTTTAAAAAAAAAATTTCATTTATACGCGTATTTTAATCAAATATAATATTATTATGCACATTATTATGGAATATATGAATATGTACATTTATATATACCTATTTATGTACATTAAAATAATGTAATAAAAAGTAATTACAAAAAAAAAATTTTTTTTTAAATGTGAAATATATGAAAATATTTATTTATAATAAATTAAACACCATATTACAACTTACCAATTCCATCTCCTGCTGGTAATCTTAATGAGCCCCATTCCCATGTAACATGATGTGGTCTTGGATCAGCGCAAACAACTAATGATAAACTAGCTGAATCACCACGTTTAACTGAAACAGTATGCATTGATGGATTTAAACGTAAAACTTGTGGTGCACCTGTTAAAATTACATTCATATGGTATACACTTAGATGAGTATTGTGTTAAAGTAATAAACATTGTATGTTTTCATAAAAATATATTGAATACAAAAGTGATTTTAATTTTAATAAAAAAAATTTTTTTTTTTGTGTATGCTATGAAATGGTATATGAATTTATGTTAGTGATGGCAATATTTTCCTGTAGAAAGGAATTTAAAGTAATATAAACGTCATAGAGTAAATAAATTGGAGGTTATGTTGTTAAGGGATTTTTTAAGAAATAAAATAAATAATATGAAAATTTTTTAAGTAAATATACGAAAAGCAATAAGTAGTAACAGTTATAACAGAGGTGATAAAAATCAGTGAGGATATTGTCAATGAAAGAGCTTTTATATTTATTGGATGATGTGGTAAAGAATTAATTCATAAGGTATTTTAAGCCTTATTCACACCATATTATATTTTAAGACAAAACCATATGAAATACCAATTTAAAATAACATTTTAAAACTAATTCTTGAAACATAAAATGGAACCTATATTTGCACCCCTATTTCTCAAAAATGTTAGATTGAAATCAAAGCATACATAATAATTTATTTTATTTAATGAATCTAAGCCATGCACGTTCATTACGAAAGCCACAAATTTCTTTGAAGAGCTAGTAAGTAAATTTAATTTACGATGTTTCGAATGTAATACGTCCTAAAAAATCTTGTACAACTAAATTTATGTTTATTTTATGTATTAAAAATTTGTGTTTAACAAACACTTTTCGTACAAAATGTAAACATTTTTAGAAATTTTTAAACTCTAATTCAGTTCAAGGATATTTTATTAATAAAACTTATATAAAAAAAAAATCTATTTTAAAGTACAAAAAAATTTATTATATTAGATCTAGAGTCAAAAAATGTTCAAAACATATTGAACGCCATTTCAAATCTGATTACATTTTTGGAGGATTTTATTTTTTTCAATACTTTTATTAATTTCGAAGTATTGAAGAGAAGTTTTACTAGTTTTCTTCCATTCTTTACTCTGTATATAAGTTTGAAATATACGATTATACGATTTTTGTGACCTTTATAAAAAATAAATTTAACACCATTGGTGCTCATTGAATGAGACAAAGAAGTATGCTAGTTACTTAACTTTTTTTTTTATTTTTTGCTTTTGGAAACTACTTGAAATATTAAAACTATAAAAAAACCAATATTAAATACAAAAAGTTGAAGAAAATAAAATATAAAAGAAAAAAGAGGAAGATTATAAAAATTTAAGAACGAATAATGCAAAGCAAGGCTATTGGAATTTTTTTTCTGAAATTTTATGAAATATTGGAATTTTTAAATGAAATAATGTATTCATAGGTTCAAAACCACTTAAAAGCTAACAATTGAAAATGGAAAATGATAATGGGTTATGAACTTTCAGGCACTCTTCAATGTTCATAAAATTATTTTAAATTTCAGAATATGAGCTAATTTTAAGAAGGGAATTTCATAAGTAGCTTATCGGATTCTATAATAATAGTTTAATAATAGCGACGAAGCAAGTACACTTTGGTGAAACCATAAAATAGTCTATGAAAAAAATGTCTGAATTTTTTGATAGCAAAACTTATCTAATTTTATATAAAAATCAACTTACCAACAACTTGTAACGAAACTGGATCAGAAGTTACACTTCTCTCTTGTCCATTAATATAATTTGTTGCTCGACATTCATATTCACCTTGGTAATCATATGTAACATTATCGATTACTAAACGTGATGAGCTTCCTCTTTCTAAATATTTTGTGCCATGTGCTAACCTGAAATTATTTTAATTTTACAACATTAAAAATTTATTTAGTTGATTTTAAGGAGGATTTTCAATAAATAATTTGTACTATACTTGTACTTATTAAGACAATTTATTTGTACTTATTAAGACAATGACTGTATTCTTTAATAATAGCTTTTTGAATTTTTCAATCCATTCCGTTTCATTTGAATTTTTTGCTAAGGCAGGGTTACGTTCAAGAATTTTAAAAAAATTTTTAAAAATTTTAGATTTTTTGACAAGGTGGGAGCCCGTTAAAAAAATTAAAATTTTTCGGGATTTTCAAAACAATTCAAAAACTTCAAATGATATCGATGCATTGTTTGCAAATTTAGATTTCACTATATAAAACCGTTTTTTTCAGAATCATATTCGAATGGTTAAGCCAGTTAAGAAAATTTTAAAAAAAAAATCGTTCTATATTTTATCTTATCCCAAACTTGTTTGGTTTTAACCCTTTCAATATAATTTTTGAATATTTTTATTTTTTTCTTAAATCTTTTTTCCAAAGCGATCCTTTCAAAACAACATTTTAAACTGCAAAAAAAAAAACACAAGACAAGTATAATCTTTCAATACCGTCGACCATCTGATAAACTAATTAGCTAAAAATTTTTGATTCCATCACTTATGTGTAAATTTTTTGTATTCTTTCAACTACCCTTTTTTGAAAAACTTCAAAATTCAAAAGACTAAACAGTATTTTGGAAAAGCAAGAGAGGAAAAAAAATTTATCTTTTATAGATATGTCGGATATAGAAGGTCGAATTGTTTTTGTATAGGAAAGGGAACAAAAATTATTTTAACTTTTTATTAGACCAAAAGAAAACAACAAAAAAATTGAATGGATGTTAAATGATAAAAAGGAAAATGTCATAAAAGAATTTGGGTTTCCTTTTTTTCTGTTCCTCCATTTTTTTGTTCTTTTTGAAAAACTGACTCTAACGGAGCAGTCAGTTAATCAAGATGTATAAAAACATTAAAAAATCCATGTTACTTATTTGGAACTGGAGATCTTCAGCAGAAAATCCCTTATTAAATAAGCAAAAAATTTAGTTTAGAGCTGATTTAGTTGAAAAAGGAGTGAATGAACGAAAAATTTTAAATGTAATTTTCAAAATTTAAGCTTTATTATATAAGACTCAAGTTTTAATATGTTAGACTTGTTAAGAAAATTAGAAATGTTAATAGCTGTGTTAATGACGCACCCTTGATAATGCTGTTATTTTCTGATGATTTGGGTGATTTTTTGGTTGTTGGACTTGTAGTCCGCCTAGCTGATAAGCGATTAGATTCGGCTAGTGAATTTCAGGTTTATATGAAAAAAAAATTTTTTTTTTTGGAAAATTTTGAACGCGTCTTGCTGTAAAACTTTGACAAAGTAATATTCTGAGTGAAAACATTTAAGCAAGAACATTTTGTTTTGAGTTCTAATAATCTAGAATATTTGCAAGTATCTATTTTATTTTAAATATTAATACTTAGCGCAACAAAAAAACGGAATCATGATGCTCAGTGTCTTTCAAATTTGCTAAAATTTTATATTCCAAAACAAAAAAAAAATAATTACATATTTTCGTTTTCTTTACGCTTAAAAGGGTCATCTTACTTGTCATCATTGTTAAAATTAACATTAAAGGCCAAAAAAACGGAAACGAAAAAAAAAATAGAAAAGATTTTTTGCGTTGTATAGAGGAAGAAAAAATTAAAAAAATATTTTTCTACGAAATTTCATTACAATATCATGCCCAAATAAGATGGAACCGGAAAAAAACATTAGACCACTGTGAACGAAATACAGAAAATAGAGAAGAAAAAATAATTGAAAATTTCGTTAAAAAGAGAGGATCAAAAAATGTTTGCAAGTATTTTTATCGTCATCCCCTTTTTTCAAGTATTTCTTTTTTTTTCTTCGCTTTTACTCTTCATTTGTTTTGCTGCCCTGATGACCTTGAATTAAAGTACTACAAATGATGATGATTATGACTGTGCTGGCTACATTGATGACAATAAAGATGATAAAGTCTTTCTCATTTCCTTTAAAGAGTAAAAAGAAAATGTTAAAATTTTCACATAAGTGAGAATTAGAAAGAGATAGAAAATCAATTCATTTTTGTTTTAATTTTTTTTTCCATCCCATCTTTTTGAGAATAGCCAACAGTTCAGTGAAGTTAGTGTGAAAATTTAAAGACTGTTAAATAGGTTGTTCAAATTTCGAGTTTTAAATGATTTTATCATTTTAACAAAACTCATTGGAAGGAATTCTTTTAGTCGACTGAAAATTAAACCCGATTGTATTAAGACTGATTGAAATTAAAGTTGATGACGTTATAACATTGTACAGTTCAGGTTCTACGCAGTTTTCCAATTATTTTTAACTTATTATTATTAATGAGTTTATTATTTTTAACTTATTATTAATAATGAGAATTATAAATGAGTTAAAAGTCGTAAATTTTAGAATAAAAATCAATTTAAGGAACCTTTAATGATGTCCAGATCGTCACTATCGCAATAATTTCAACAGTCAGATAGACACGTTCTCTTATCAATAAGGTTTTTTCAAATTATAACAAAAATAAAGTACTTAAAATAATTTTTTAGATATGCTGTTTATTTTTAATGACTCTCTTTTGTCATCCTCCATTTAATTGTGTTTATAATACAAAAAAACTTGTTAAGAAATTTAAGGAATAAATTGTTTTCCTTTTTTGTTTTGTTAATTTTTCTGTGTCCTTTTTTTTTATTGATATTGTCAATGTTATTACAACGGTACCGGATTACATAATAAAACATGCGTATATATTTATCTATATAATATGTTTGTACATATGTACATTGCCTTGGTGTTTAAAGATTTTTGTATGGTTTTAAAGAATTGTTTTTTTTTTTTAAATTAAGTGTTTAATCGATAAAAGATAAACCAACATAATATAGAATTAGTACAAAAACCATATTTGCTCTTTTCATTATAATTGAAATATTTGGAATATGTTGCAATATAATGGAAATAAGTGAATGGGATCTAAAAACCAACTGCAGTCGGAGTAATGACCATTTTTAGACGTAAATTGATAGTTAAATTGTGTGGAAAAGGATTATGAAAAGGGTTCTTTTAAAAAGAAAAGTTGTGACCCAATACCATTATTAATTAACAAAATTTCATAATATTTCCATAATTCTTCTTAGAATTTAAATGAATTTCAAATTGAAAATTGTACTAAAACTATAGTACTTTTAGTAAGAAGATAGCAAAATTTTATTCAGTAAACTTCATTGTCTTATACTCAGCAAATTTTAATAGAGTTTTTAAATTTTAATCAATTATTCGCAAAAGATAATTTTATTGGAACAATTCAACAATAATGTAAAACTAATTTTAACATTACAGTCACTTACATATTTTATACATTTTTATTCATTATACAAATGATTTAATAGCAAAAAAAATTTAAAAATATAAGTGAGTAAATAACTGTTACACATGAGAATATCAACTAATAATTTCTAACTTTTATTCTGAAAACAATTTACAATGAACATTCTACTCACGAATTATACACATATATTTATATGTACTACATAAGAATGGGGTTAAAAGAATGCTTAGATTTACTAACACCTATACAGAATTTTTAATATATTATATGATGTACACGCTAGGTCTTTCATAATTTAAATATGCGAGTACAAATATTATATAGGTATACCTTGAATTAAATATTCATTTTAAACAAAAGTTCTAAGTAGTATTAAAGGGTTAAAGTTGAAAATTGAAAAGAGTAGCAATTAGTACACTCTTTTCTATATTCTTTGTTTTTCTTTTCTCTGGTTCCATAATATAAGAAAACTTGTGAAAATTTTATTCTTATGTTTTCAAGTATTTGTTACAATAACATCAACCCTTAGTTCAATGTTTATTTTTAAAATAAAATACACATTTATTTTAGCCTTCCAGCATTGAAATAATATCAAAAACATAATCCAACTAAAATTAAAGTGTATATACATTAATAAATATACACAAACGGATTGAGGTGTTAGTCTAACTGTTCGAAATACGTTGATTCGAATATTTAGAGGAATACTAAGAATCATATAGTGCTTTATGAGTAAAGGTTGCTGTTAACGTACTAATAAAGTACTAATAATACTAATAATATAAACTGTTATTGAAAGTGTAATAATGTACTGCTCTGCAACCCCATATTTTTACTGTAAATGTGAAGTGCGACAACATTTAACTGCAACAAATTTTAAATGCAATAATCGAATTTTTAAAATGATAATAAAATCGTGCGGCAGCAAAATTGGATCAAAAACATGAAATATTTTAAAAGTATGGTCATACTAAATTGATAGATAAAGATATAGTTTGCTCATGTCAACTACAACTTCTTTATACAAAATCGATTTAATATGATTCGTCAATATGTTTTGAGTTTTTTTTTTTTTTGAAATTTTTACTTGGATAGTTTAAAAACATTTACTTTAACTCATGACACTCTGAACTGCATGTTATAAACATCTTTTTTGTTTTATCTAAAATTCAATGGGGTGGGATGCAACATACGTTATTTAAGAGCGTGATTTTACATGAATTAGAGATTTATGTATTTGTGAACGTATATTCACGTGTTCGTAAATTTCATCGTGTTTGTATTTTTAGATCAATGTACTCTTTTATATGAGATAAGGTTTCCAATATCTTTACGAATTTGGAAATTTATATATAAAAACTCGAATAGCTGCTTTGAGAAGAATAATAGAAAGTACTAACAGAACTTAGCAAAAATTTAATAAAAAACTTCACGAAAAATCTTGACTTCATTTTAAATTGAACTCCTGTTGCAATTCCGTACATCTTTTATCAAATCGGTATGTGAAATACTCTGATTTATCAAATTGGTTTTAATATATTTCGATTTATTTTTGAGCAATTACTCAATTTCGAAAAAGAAATTCGGTTCTTTAAAGAAGAATGAATAA